AAATATATTTTTAATGTAATTATATGGTAGTTTAACAGTATTAATGTTGTCGAATTAATCCGTTATGAAGCAAAATTAGCCTCATTTCTGCTGTAAAGCTGCTCTTAAAAAGACAAAAGTGTGTCATTATTCAGCTTAATTCAGTTCAAATTTTGCTCAAATGCTAGTGTCAGTGCAATCGATAATTATACTGAATATGAATCATCTTTTAAACCCCATATGGCACAAGGGTGAGTAAATGGCGACAGAATTTTTATTCCAACCTTTAAACAAACTGCAAAGGGCACGCTGAAGGTCGCTGGAGTGGCTTTTCCTCACGAGAGTTTCACATTATTATTACGCACACCAAACACATCGCGCCATGTATGATTTCTGTTATCTTCCGCCACGAAAATTATTTTGTTTTCTTCAGGATCACAGTTGGTGGCTTTCAAATGAGTGCAAAACGACTGTCAAGTGAAGGCGTTTCCTCCTCGTGAACTCGTGTGAGGTGTTTGTAATGGCCTCGGGTGAATGCTAACGAGCTGCACAGGCTCTTCGACGGCGCTGTGACTCATTGCGCGCCGCACCGTGCCGTAATGACAGATGAAAACAGCTATGTTTAGCATGCCAATAGAGCTCTTTGTGAGGTTTTGTGAATGGCGCTGCCTGCCATCGGCGGAGACGTTTGAGTCGATGTCTCGGGTGATTCGGCTCTCGATGAGTGTGTGACTCCAGATGAATGTCGATGGGAAGAGCGACTCACAGATGATGAAGACGCGGGTTTCATGAGCCTCAGGGGCGCGTGTAGAATAATTGTGCCGCAAAACAGACTGAATGTGAGCATGTGAGAGTTCAATTGGGAAGAATTTGCATGTAGTATATAAAAACTGGGGCAGATTGACTGTGCTATTTGATATAATGAAGAAAGACACTGCAAAAATGGCTTCTTCAGTGTTTTTTGTCTTGTTTTCTGTTGCAAAAACCAAAATCTAAACATTCTTAAGTCAAGATGTATTTACTTGAGATGGAAAATACCTTTAGATAGGCTATTAAGGGGTCATTCACACAGAACGCGTCTTTGCGTCTAAAAACACAAGAGGCATATAAAAAAATGTTAAAAACCGCAGCACTGAATGCCTCCTCTGGCATGTTGCAACCAAATAAAACAGTTGCCATGCCAACTTGCTATTGTAAACAAACGCTTGCCCCGCCTCCGGGTTCTTCTGATTGGTCCACTGTTTTGGAACATATTTACTCTGGCCGTTTCCAAAGATCATAGAATACGCAAGACGTGTCAGTCGTATAGTTTTGAATGGGGAAAAATGCAACACTTAACATGGCCGCTCAATCGCAGGAAGCCCCGCCTTCTGAGCAAAAGAGCCAATCGCTAATCGGTAAAGTCAGCGCATCACTGCAGCTGCCGTTAGAAGTCCCGGCTGCTATAGAAACAGTCAGCGTTCTTAGGGGCCGTTCACATATCGCAACTTTTGCGCACTCAAGTTCGTTATTTCAAATGTAGACGCGTGGCAGGTGCGCTCATATTGGAAGCGACGCGGTCGGGACGTGCATGCAGTCTGACGCACTCATTTTTTCCAGGCTCTTCAGCGCCGCATCGAGATAAAAAACATTTCAACTTTTTAGAATGCCGCAAGTGCACCGTGGGTCATGTGACAAGAACCAACCAATCAGCTTCATCCTTTCCCGTAACAACATTGAAAGCTCAGCCAAGATGAAGGAACAGCTGATCATAGCTGTACAGGGATAGCCATTTTTAAATAAATTTAGTAGCAGAGCTACTGCAAGCGATTTTTAGTGCTGCAAATCCATTTATCCTTTGCTGAAACTTCCGCGTCTTCATGGAGAGCGCAGGCCATGGTTGCTTAGCAACGGCAGACGCCTCCGGAGCGCAAGCGCCCGAACACTTTGGAAAAAAGTTGGTGATTTGGTGATTTCAAATATGAAATGTAATCATAAGCTTAGTGAACAGTTTTGGAGAATTTGATGATTCCCCATACAAAGTGATATGAGCTGCACTTGCATGCCCGAGAGGCGTTTCAAAGATGGCTGCCGAGTGACATGACTTGCCTTAAAGGGACTTTGCCATTTCTCAATATGCGTTTTTCAGCGATCTTGCGTCCTTGTGTTCTCGCTCTACGTCATCATTAACCGTCAAAGTTCAATTCCAATACTCAAGAACGCAAGTACAGAGGACGCATGAAAGTGCCCGGATGTGTTCTTGATATCGAGGATGCATCGAGTGCAGACTTGAGAGAATCGAGCCGTTAGAAATCCCAGAAAACGCTGCGGGCGCCGGTGTACGGAAGCCTGCAAGCTTTAAACTCACTGCCTGCAAAGTCATTGCCTCACAAGGCAGCGAGGCAGCAAGTCAGCTTCCTAGGCTTTCGGACGCAGCCAATGTGTTCAGATTTTAAACACGTGGCACTGTGCTTCTCATCCAGTGTGCAACCGGCTTAAGTCTGTTTCTTAAATGAATTTTAAACACAAATATTTAAAGGGGTCATGAACTGCCTTTGTTTTTTTTATTTTGTACTGTTCTCTGAGGTCCACTTATAATGTTGTCAAGATTTTTACATCAAAAAACATAATTTAGAAGTAGCTAATAAGCCGTACGGTTCTGTCCGGTTTTTAACCCCCCTCATCAGAACGCTCTGTTTGAGTAGCTGTGGAGGATTGTAGACTCAGAAGTAAACACCCACTGCTGTGATTGGCTAACAGTTGTGTATGTTTGACAGCCTCCTTCATAGATGGATGCTGCTGTCATTTAAGTTAAAAACACATAAATACTCATATCAAACGATCTGTTTAACAGACAAAGCAATAGTGATCACATAATAAAAACAGTAACTCACACTTGTGTGGCAACATTACTGTCGGATCCAATATAGTCGGCACAGCATTGTCTTTTAATTTCAATCTTTTTGAAAATCCAGTGTCGAATTGTGCCTTGTTTGTAAATGAATCCACGGTAAAATGAAGTGAACAAAGGACCAAGATCTTACTGACACAGTCTGGATCTTCATTAAAATAAAGTTCATCCACTCTTTCCTAACGTTGTGATCAGAAGGAAGGCAATGCAAAGGCTGTTTTTTTTCCACAACTTGGCACTGCACAGCGTTTTATTGTCTTCAGAGCCATCCTTATCATTTGGATTCTGTGCGTTTGCCTTTCTGTCAAACACTACATATGCAAATCGGTGGGCGGGGCTAAACAGGCAGTGATGTAGAATCGGTGGGCGGGGCTAAACAGGCAGTGATGTAGAATCGGTAGGCGGGGCTAAACAGGCAGCGATGTAGCATCGGTGGGCGGGGCTAAACAGGCAGCGATGTAGAAGAACATTCCACAAACTGTTGTTTTGGCAGACTGCCTTCAATAGAATCTGTTTTTAGAGTAGCGACAAAGTTTTGAGTTCTAAAACTTACAGGATGTTTTTACAGTACAATGAAATCTTATATGTCAAAAGATCAAGAGAATTTTGGTTTCCCTTCATGTTGATAGCACAGAATTTTGTAAATAAGCCTATAATGCTTTACATTTCTGAGAAAGGAAGGAGTACCTAATTGTAGCTGTAACTTTCCTGGTTAAACTGGGTTGTATAGTGAATGGTTAGTGATACGCAGGTTTTTTGTGCTGACAAGAAATGTGCAAAAGTAGTGCAATTGTTTAGTGAATTTGCATATAAATATTCAAATATAAAAATTCTATGAAGAAATAAAGATTTTATCCCTGGCAAATCCAGTGATTATAGTTCTCCATGAAAAGCACTAGTTGTATCCAGTGTTATTGTAGTATTATTTATATCTATTACGGTATTTATTGATATTTTGAATCAGCTTTTTTTATTTTATATTTTAATTTTTCAATTTAATTTTAGTTTAAGGTTTAGTAATTTTGTTGTGCTTATGACTGTTTATATATTTTTAAATATTTTATTTAGCTTTAATTTATTTTTGTTTTAGTATTTTTAGTATTTATTAAACTTTTGATTCAATTTTTGATTAAGTTTTTAATGTGTAGTGTACATTTTTATCTACTAGTTCTATTCAATTTTATTTCAATTAACAATTTATCAGTTTTATTTGGCTTTATTTTATTTTAGTTTTAGTAAATTTAGTATCTCTTAAACTCAAACATATTTTATTTCAGTTAGTTGGCAAGACAAAATTTCTAATTTTCTTTAAGTTGATTTTTTTTTGTGTAATTGTGTTAAGTTAAATTTTTTCATCTACTAGTTATATTAATTTTCTTTAATTTAAAAAATTTATTTTTTAGTTTTATTTAGCTTTATTTAGTTTTAGTAATTTTAATGTTTATTTAAATGTATTTTATTTCAGTTAATTGCAAAGACTTGAAAACATGACTTAAAGGGGTCATATAATGCTATTTTAAAGATCATTATTTTGTGTATTTGGTGTAACAGAATATGTTGACATGCTTTAATGTTCAAAAAACACATTAATTTTCAAATACTGTACATTTATTGTAGGTCCTCTATGCCCCGCCTCTCTCAAACACGTCGTTTTCAACAAAGTCCCTCCTTTGACAAGCGCAGGCTGCTCTGATTTGCCAGCTGATCCAGTGCATTGTGATTGGCCGAACACCACAAGCACGTGTCGGAAATGTAACGCCCCTTACCATAATCGCGAGCTTCATCTTTCAAAATAAATGTAAAGACAGTAAATAATGTCATTAGTTTTACCATCAGTTCAAGCCCGAAAGGGCAACAGAGTCGCGTGACAGACACAGTGATGATGCAGTACACAAGCCGCGGTTAAGACAGCTGACGTGATATGATTTCTGACAGGCAGTTCACTCTCCTGTGATGTGATCCTGTTCCCCTCACACACACACACACGACGCGTTACTCTGCGCTGCGCAAAACTCCGCATTTGAACAGTCAATAGAACCAGTGTGCGCTTACGTTCAGCAGCTTCATCACTGTAGCCAGCTGGATTTGAACGGAGACTGACTGTGTGTTTGTCTGTCTGTCCTGTAGGGGTCGCCCTCCAGGGCCGTCGTCTCTCTTCATCTGGGATCATGTTCTAGAGCCGACCCTGCGCAGCAACCATGAAAGGCTTAGGGGCCAACCGTAGTCACCATCTGTCCGACACCTGCGACCCCACCGCGGGCCCCCAGGAGCCCCTGTGTCCCTTGGCCCCAGACCCCCACGCCGCCTTCCTCCTGAGCCCCACTGTCAACCACTACGCCACTCTAGATCCTCACCTCCATCATTTTCCTGTTTCCACCCCGACGACGCTGCAGTCGGACTGCCTGCTGCCCTTCAACAACCAGCTGACCACCAGCAGCACCTTCCCTCGCCTCCACTACACCAACCAGCCGGAGCAGAGCGACTACACACAGGTACTGACACCACACTGCATTTATTTCATTAAAATACAGTAAAAACAGTAATATCTGGAAATATCATTACAATTTAAAGTAGCTGTTTTCTATGTGAACATACTGTAAAATGTAATATATTCCTGTGATCAAAGCTGAATTTTCAGCATCATTACTCCAGTCTTCAGTGTCACATGATCTTCAGAAATCATTCTAATATGCTGATTTGCTGCTCAGTAACCATTTCTGATTATTATCAATGTTGAAAACAGTTGTGCCGCTTCATATTTTTGTGGAAATTTTTGTGGATTTTATCTTTCAAGATTATTTGATAAATAGAAAGTTGAAAAGAGTAGCATCTATTTGAAATAGAAATCTTTTGCAAGATTATAAATGTGATTACTGTCACTTTCGATCAATTTAATGCATCCTTGCTGAATAAAAATATAATTTTTTTCCTCTTCTTTTTCAAAAAAAAAGTACAGACTCCGTGAGACTGAACAATAGTGTATATATAAAATATAACATATATTATAAACAATATATATATTAATAGAAATATAAAAAAGCATGGAGTACACATCATAAGTGTTTTGATTCATCATCATTAATCATTCATATTGTCCATTATTTGATGCATCTATGCATCACAATTTAAATTCAGATGTTTTGAGTTTGAAAAGGTACATTTGTTGACTAATATATTTGTTGAAATTTGTATGAATATATCATATGCACAATATTACAAGTAGTTAAAATACAAATATTTTAATTTATTATTATTATTGAACTTATTTAGATTTAGATTTTTAGATTTAATTAATTAAATTAAACTTATTTTATTATTTGTTGTCATAAATAAATAAATTCATAATAAATAAAAATGCATTTGCAAAATATTACTTTTTGCAATTTGCAAAATGTAAAAAACAAAAGCAAACAAACAAAAAAAAACTTTTTTTTAGTGTTGTTAATATGTATGACCAAAAAATACAGCCAGCTGACAATCTCTGGTGATAAAATCGTCAGTCATACATTTTTTTCTTTTTAAATGTTTTAGTATAATATAATAAATAAAAGTGCAATAATAATAAAAATAATAATGATAATAATAATGTATTATAATTAATGATGAATACAAATATTTGTTAAAAATAATTAATTTATATTTTAACCATTTGTAATATTGAGCATGTATCATACAAATACCTAAATAACTGCGATAACTGAAATAACATTAATAATATTGTGCAGGTGATATACAGTTATTTGTATGATAATAAATAAATAATAAGTGCAAATAAGTATAATAAATACAAAATGTATTGTTTAATAATTAATAATACAATACAAATATTTGTTAAACAGCTCTAATAGTGTGCATGTGATATATGTAATACAGTCAACAAATGTGCCGTTTTAAACTCATATTTAACTCACGCTTTTTATAATAAATTTGTATATTTTTCTAGTAATTTTATGATGGTTTTGTTGTGTCTCAGCAGGCTTGTGTGGCTCAGACGGGCAGTCGCTCCGGCACACTCACGTCCTCCATGTCCATGGGCATGGGTTTGGGTCTGGGACTGGGCGCTCCCGCCATGATCAGCAGCGGCACGGCCACCATCTCATCCGCGGCCGCTGCCAAGATGAACCGGCTCCCGGCCAACCTGCTGGACCAGCTGGAGCGCCACCTACCGCTGCAGCGCGACGGCTTCAGCACACTGCAGTTCCACCGGCGCAGCCACGGCTCCAAGCAGTGCAGCGAGAGTCCCAGCCGCATCCGCAACCTGGTGCAGTCCGTCCAGAAGCTCTTCGCCAAGTCCCAGTCCCTGGAGGTGTCGGCGGTCAAAGGGAGCATCACCGTGGGCCCAGCCGGAGACGCGGCTAAAGCGGCCCGCCGCAGCAAAAGCAAAGACCGCGCCAAGACCGAAGGCACCAAACGCCACCCGCGGCCCAATCTCTCAGGCTTCTGGAGCTCGGATGACTGTTTGGAGGACGAGGCGCCTGCTCAGCCCGCCGCCGGGCCGTTAGCGATGGCGTATCGAAACCCTCTCAGCATGATGACGCTGGGCAGGGCCGTGTCGGACAGTCAGGCAGCTCCCAGACCGCATCCGCAGGGCTACAACACCGTCGCGGCTCATTCGCTCAAATCCTCCAAGAGCAGCGGAGACCTCAAGCCCACCGTCAGCCTGCCGCCCTCCACGGGCCAGACGGGGGAGAACACGCTGGTCAAGAGGGGCTCGTGGTCCACGCTGACCCTCAGTCAGGCCCGACAGGTGCTGCAGAAGGGATCCGCCACCGTCAACCGCAGCCTGCTCAAGTCCAAGTCCTGCCACGGCCAGGAGATGACCTGCAACTTCCTACAGGTACAGACACACTGACATGGAAGAAAGACAGTCAGTGTGGGAGAGACAGTGAAGAGATTTCTTGAGATTGTGACAAACCTATTTTGTCCTAAAAAATCCTAAAAAAAGATTTCATAATAGGCAATAATATTGATTATAATGCCAAATAACCACTTTATATCACTTTTTTATTATTTATCGCTTATTTTTTTATTTGTTTTGAATATATGTATATAAAAAAAAAAATATATATATACATATATATATTCATTCGATCATCATATATGAATTAATATATCTAAATAATATTTCAACAATATTTCATTGTCATTTTAAATGCCATTTTATCAGTGGAATTTTAAAATGAGATTTTCAAAAAATGTATTAACCAACACTAACACAGAGAACTCACATGCATTTTAAAGTACATTTCAGAAGTTTCTGACATCCTTTGACCCAGATGCATTGTGGGTAGTAAGTGTAAGTGTTCTGGCAGGTGCCTGCGGGTGAATGGAGCGGGACGCTGGGTAAGGGAGGCGGCGGTGCGGGCGAGATCCCGTGCAGACGGATGCGCAGTGGCAGTTACGTTAAAGCCATGGGAGACATGGAGGACAGCGATGACTCGGATGGACCCCCTTCACCCAAACCCTCGCCCAAAACCGCCGCCAGACGCCAGAGTTACCTGAAGGCCACACAGCGCTCGCTCAGCGAACAGCAGCCGCCGCTGCTACCGCCACGCAAGTGAGTCCTACAGTACACGTTACAGACACACTACACACATACTGCACACACACACTGCACACACACTACACACACACACACACTACACACACTGCACACACACTACACACACACTGCACACACACACTGCACACACACATCACACACACTACACGCACTACACACACACTGCACACACACTACACACACACTGCACACACACTACACACACTGCACACACACTACACACACACTGCACACACACACTGCACACACACTACACGCACTACACACACACTGCACACACACTACACACACACTGCACACACACTACACACACTGCACACACACTACACACACACTGCACACACACTGCACACACACTACACACACACTGCGCTAGGGATGTAACGGTATGAAAATGGCTTATCACGATTATAGTGACCAAAATTATCACGGTTATCCGTATTATCACGGTATTGTTAACATGTGCTGGAGATGTTGTTGTAGCCTTGATATGTCATGCAGTAGTATTAATTAATATTAATATAGCCCCAAAATATTTAATTCATTCATTCAAAAACTTTTTGGCCATAACATTAATATAATTGTTGGCATATTGTATTGGCCAGAATTTTATAATGGCTGGTCCCTAATAGTGACATTGTTAAATGATATTATTTGGAAATAAAGTAGCTTTAACTTAATTAAATATGGCATTAACAATTCCATTCCATTTTCCATTAATTTCCTCTTTGACGTAGGCTTTATCCAGTTTCTGGATGGATTGCACTTTCATCCACATAATGAAATGGCTCCACCACTGTGCACACACATGCCACACACACACACACACACGAACAATCTGAGTGAAGCTAATGGAGAATATGTTGAAAGAAGGACAGATCCTCTGGATACAAAAGCGACCTGAGTGTCACCAATGCCCTTCTCAATTCACTTTATCTATTCTCTCAAATTAGGCTCATTATGCTCTTTTTCTCTTGTTTCCTTTCTCTGTATATCATTTCGCACCTATGACCTCAGTGTGTGTTTTATCTTCTATTCTTTCCTCTTTTCACATGTCTTCCTTTCCTTTTCTTCTTGTCTTTCCTGTGGTCTCAATTCCCTTCCAAAACACACAAATTTACTTAGGCTTTGTTTACACAGTAAATGGAATGGAGTTATTTTCATGTTCGATCTTTAGGATGGACATTCCTTACTTATTTTGCAAGTGATGAAACCAAATCTGTTTGTTCAGACAGTGTCATCAATATCCTGTATATCTACATTGATCGTTATAGTAATGACTTCAGCGTCAGCTTGACGGCAGAACACATGACAGTCGTTCTCATTAAGGAAAACAAGGACAGAAAACGAAATACTTTAGTCTCTGCTCGTATACATCATTTTCAGAATGAAAACCACAGCATAATTTTCATAATTTATTTTATTTATGAATAATTTTTTAAAACAAGGCTATCCCAGGATATCCCCAAATGAGGCTTTGTCAGATTTAGCTAGTTTTGGGGACAAATTTGTCCCTAAACTATAGTTAAATAAACCCTCACGCACACATTGTGGCAGTATTAGAGCAAATTTGCTGAAAACACACTGTTTTAGACAAGCTTTGAAAACCTGTCTAATTCAGACATCAGAGACCACTTTATCTGTACTATTCTCCCAGTCTCCCATTACACACAAATGCACGAAACAAAACGGATTATCCAAATGTGGTGCCCGACACGTATGCAAAAGGGCGACACTAAAGAACCTTCAGAAAGCATGTGCTGCATATTGATTAACATTTGATCCTTTCTGCTTTCATCTTCACTGTTCCCTAGGCTCTAATCCAACCCTCCAGACCTGTCTGTCTGCCTGCTTGACCCTCTTACTCTCTTCTCCTCCAGGGGTGAGGACACATAAGGGCCCAGGTGGCACCGGTCCGCCCAGATTGATTACTGGTTTGCCCCGTGTCAGAATATATTAATGGTTTGGAAATAGTGAAACAAAAACAAAGGAACTGCCTTTTGGTATTTCAAATATCAGCCTTTTGATATATTATATTATATTATATTATATTATATTATATTATGTTAAAAAAGTACTGACTCATAAATCACTTCAAGTTTTATATTTAAAAATCAACAAACAACATATAAAATGACCTTTTTTTTGCATAATCACTAAAACAATAACATTACCAATGATGTAAATGTTGAAATAAAGCTTTGAAAAAGTATAATAAAAAGGTAAACCTCACATTTCAGCTTTTAAATAAAGAAAAGATATGTCAAAATGATAATTGAGTAATAAATTATTATCAGAATCAGAATCAGAAAGAGCTTTATTGCCAAGTATGTTTGCACATACAAGGAATTTGTTATAGTGTCA